GAAGTGGAGTTGGAGGTGGCATTCAGAGCAGTCTGGCGCCCCTGTCTCCTTCCCGCCAGGCAATCCCGTGGCACAGCCGGCCTTCCCTTCTCTGAGCGCACTGCGCGCTGCCGCCGGGACCCCCTTTCGCCGCTTCCCCGGGTTCCGCCTTTCAGCCCGGCTCCCTATGGCTGAGCTTGGGTCCCCGGGGTCTGGCCTAGGCCTGGGGTTCAGAGCAGTCAGAATGGGGCCCAGCACAGTCGGAGTATTATCTCCTTCCCGCCAGGGAACGCCCGCCAGGCACTCAGCCTCCCTCCTCTCCGGCTCTGTCCTCTCTGCGCCGCGTGTCTCCGTACCTTGGGCTTTTCCAGCTCCTCCGCGCTTCCTTCTGGTTTTCTCCTTGCTTCTCGTTGTAGAATTTCCAGTCAGTCAACTTTCCTGTAGTTCTGGGTAATGTCCGTTTTATATTTTAGTTGTATTTTATTGAAATTGTTGTGTGAGGCTGCAGCTAGGTATTCACCTGGGCGCAGCCATCTTGGATGATCACATGCATTTTACATCTCCTTTTGTACACAAACAACCAAGGGGCCCAGGCTTCCTGCTACTACTTCAACCAATTAAGCAGAGACAGGGTTGAATCATATAAACGTTTATTCCAATAATGCTGGTAGTATGGGAGAGCAGCAGGTCATCCACAAAACTCTGCTTTGCCTCTCCCCATGAGCCAGCTGCTTACATTGGGTAGGACAAAGATTATGTGGGACAGATATGGGAAAGCAGGCATTGTATAAGCATTACAGGTTACAAGTCATTTGGGCTGGAGGGGGGGTTAGAAATGAGGTGAGCCCCCCAAAACCAGGGATCCTAGCAGAACACAAAGGATAATCAGGAGCCAGACAACAATGCAAATATCTACTCCTCCAGGAGGTTGTGCAGGCACAGGGTCTGGGAGCAAATGCACAGTGAGTGGGTGGTCTCCTCGGGCTTTTATGCTTCACAAGTGTCATCAGTCACCCCCCCCCCTTTTTTTTTTCAGAAAAAAGGATGTTTTATCATTTTGACTTGACCATAATTATAGTTATTATCATTTATGTAAGTTACATAAATACAGGCTGATGTTGAAAGCTTAAAATATAAAGTACAGAAAATAAATTCAATTTTAAAATGTACTGACATAATTCTTTTATATGCTATGCAAAATCCTAGCAAGAATCATTGCAATAATTATTCAAGGTAATATTACAGATAATACGAAATATGTTTTAAAGATAATACGAAATATGTTTGGTTTTAAATGAACATTTAAATTTTACACTCTGGTTTATAATAGATCAGAGTGTAAAATTATATCTGCAATTTCTAACAGAAAAAATAAATTAGTTTGCAAATACTCTGTATTATTCCAGGAAATAAGAAAGCAGGCCAAGGATCAAATGTTGCATAGTTTTATCAAGCAAACCACCTTTGACAGATAATTTTTTCAGGGTGGCTAAAATGGTAAAGCTCTACACATATAACTAAACCATCTGTTATACTAGAGCTAGTACAGCTGACCCCTTGAACAATGTGAGGTTTGGGGTGCTGGACCCCGTGAGCAATCGAAAATCCACATATTACTTGGGTTGGCCCTACACATTTATAGAGTCCCTACCTCAAGGAAAAAAAAAAAACACTGTTTTGATCCAAAGTTGGTTGAATGTATGGATGCACAACCCAGAAAAACAACTGTATATTTATTTATTTTTAAAAAATATATTTTATTGATTTTTTACAGAGAGGAAGGGAGAGGGATAGAGAGCTAGAAACATCGATGAGAGAGAAACATTGACCAGCTGCCTCCTGCACACCCCCACCGGGGTTGTTCCTGCAGCCAATGTACATGCCCTTGACTGGAATTGAACCTGGGACCCTTCAGTTTGCAGACCAATGCTCTATCCACTGAGCCAAACCGGTTTCGGCCAACTGTACATTTATTTAAAAAAATCTGCATGTAAGTGGATCTAGCCAGTTCTAATCCATGTTGTTCAAGGATTAACTGTACTTTTATTTATAGAGTTTAGAAATCAAAATGTAACAAATAATTATAAGCCAGTATTGGCAGGAATACCAAATATTATTTCACAACTGCCACTATGTATTTCTTGTTCTCTGACACAATTGGCACAGATCCAGGCTTGCTATGCTTAAAATGATTTACTTCCTTCCCTCTGCGAGCTTCTTTCCTGATGCGCTGTTCTTGAATCTGGCTGCAGATTGGTTTTGGTAGATGGCAGTGTTGAATGATATGTTTTATATGAGGATGACGTTGAAATTTTTTCCTTCAACTTCTGGTTATAATCTTTGTCTGCTTTCTCTTGTGATATAAGCACACCCAATTTCTCAGAAGCATTAGCTTTCCACAGAGGAATGTTCATTTCATCAGATCCTCACATAAAGTACTTGCTATCAGAAGTTCATTTTACACACATAACATGTTGCATTATCTTTGTGTGATATACTTCCCTGCTTCTACTTTTGTCCACAGCAACAAAAGTAGAAGTAGAAAAAAGTAAAAGTAGAAATCGCATAGATTTATCAAAATTAGCGGTCACGAACTCTTTCCCAGTGGAGAGAATAATCCACATCTAGACCACAGACACGTGATCCATGTGCACCATCACAGGAATGTCTAGTGCATACATATTAAAAGTATATAAGTTGTAATCTTCATTTGCTACAGTAAAAATGAAGGCTTCCATAGGGTTCTGACAAATTGTATTTATTCTCATATCTAAGATGATTGTTTTTAGAGGAATAGCTTGCCTCATATCACATAGTACTACTAGTGGCCCACTGCATGAAACTTGTGCACATTAAAAGGGAATTAATTAGAGGAAATATTTTAATATTGTTATTTTCCCTTTGCTTGGATGTGAGCCTCACATTTCTGGGCCAGTGCAGGGGGTGGGGACTCGAGCCTCATGCCCCTGGCTGGCACAGGGGGCAGGGTCATGAGCCTCACTTACCCAGGCTTTCGTAGGGGGTAGGATGTGAGCCTCATATCCTGGTCCCATTGCCAGGGGCGGGGACACAAGCCTCAACACCCTAAGCCTCTTGTTGGGGCGGGGACATGAGCCTGAAGTCCCCTCAAGGCTGGCCTCCGGGGGGAGGGGGTTTGCTGAGCCTCATGTCCCAAGCAGTGCAAGTCCCTGCCCACTGAAGCTGCCAGTTCCTGCCCATCTGCTTCTTCTTCACATGTAGCTTGCTGATTGGTCGTTATGTGACAACATCCTGACCAGTTTGCATATTATCCTATCTACACTAATAAAAGAGAATGATGCAACTTGAGTATACTTCCGCAATGCCCACCAGCCAATCACGAATGAGTATGCAAATTAATCTGACAAAGATGGCGGTGACCCTGCCCTGCAGCTGCTCCAGGCTTATGGGAGTTGGAGAAGTCGGGCACCAGTACTTGAGGCTGGCTGAGGGACAGGATATGAAGAAGCCTCCTGCCCCGTGATCCCAGGCTACAGCCAGCTACTGAAGCCTCATGTACTTGGGAAGATGGAGAAACCAGGTGCCAGAACCTAAGGCTGGCTGCTGCCTGGGAGATGAAGAAGCCGCCTGCCCCATGATCTAAGGCCACAGGCAGTGAGAGAAGTCACCCAGACTGCATCCCCGGGAAGATGGAGAAGCCATCCACCAGCGGTCCAGGCACCAGTACCTGTGGCTGGCTATGGCCTGGGCAATAAAGAAGCTGCCCCCCTATGGTCCTGGGTGCCAGTACTTGCAGCTGTCTCCCAGGCAAAGCCACCTGCCCATCATTCCCTATGGCTGCAGCCAGCCTGAATGCCTATGGCTTACTGGAGCAAGGGAAGCCTGGATCTCGGGTGCCTTTGATTGGCTGGAGGAGGGAATCTTGTGTCCTGGATGTGGGGCAGAGCAGAGGTGGTTAGGGGCAATCAAGCCAGCAGGTGAGCAGTTAGGGATGATCAGGCTGGCAGGCAGAAGCAGTTAAGGGCAATCAGGCAGGCAGGCAAGTGGTTAGGAGCCAGCAGTTCTGGATTGTGAGAGGGATGTCCAACTGCCCGTTATCCCCCGAGGGATCCCACATTGGAGAGGGTGCAGGTCAAACTGAGGGACCCGCTTCTCTCCCTACCCCAATCCCTGTGCACGAATTTCATGCACCAGGCCACTATAGATGGATATTTCTATCAGAAGCACAACTTTCTAAGAGAAATATCTCAATTGGGTTAAATGTAATACTACTTATACTGTCAAATACCCAGGTCATTGAACATAAAGGATTAGTTTTCTGTTCATCCCAAATGTCTACTTGCTGTCCACATGTGGCAAAATTTCCTTCTTTCCAGTGATGATCAGCTCCTGTATACACTATGTTCCCTAATATTGTATGTGATGGCTCTTCCTCTTCTCCAAAACCTGGTCCATCCATTTGCCAGTGTGTCACCGTTTTGTCATCACCAATAGTAAAAAAAGAACCCCCCAAAAACGAGTACATATTCCTCATACAAAACCTTCATGTGCCTGTATTGTACGGATACAGTTTCATTTGGTCAAGTTCCAAATTCTGACCTCTCCATCACATGCCCCAGAAAGGATAGTAGCTAGACTCTTTGGATACTTTGCCAAACAACTGACTGCATCTCGGTGACCATCCAGAGAAGCAAGGAATGGTTTTGCAAATGCGCATTCCAGTTTGGTAGCATTTAAAGCTCTTAAGTATTCTCAAGGGACCTCAAAAGGATGTAAGGTAGGATCACAGTTTCTTGGAACTCTTTGTAAGTCCAACTTGGTTTTGTGGACATAGTTGTCCGGGTTCAGGCTCAGCATCTTCACCTTTATCTTGGCTTCCAGTGCTCGCCCACTCCATGAACCTTTCCCTCTGGGTTCCAGGTACCTGCCTTCTCCCCTAGAACCCCCTCACTTTATTTTACATAAAAAATCAAGGTTAATAGTTTATTATACTCTGGATAGAGATATTAAGGGGGCAGAGAACTCTGCTGTACCCAGGGTGTATGGAACATTCATTTACACACTGGATACACTTTTACAATACTGGAAGGCATGAACACCCACGAGGCATTACGGCAGAGGAGACAGCCATAGGTCTTCATGCCAATGACAAAGAAACTCCCTCAGGGCCTGACAGGTTACAGGATAACACTGAGGGATGCAGTGACTGGTTAATGAGGGTTAAGGGGACCCCAGCTGGGACACTTGAGGGGCACACATACGGGAGTGCCCAGAACAGTGCCCTCTGCTCGCTGGTTCTCAGGGACCAGGAGCAGGGCAAGGGTCCTCCCCAGGCTGAGCTGGGTGGGTGATGGGGTTCACCTATGGCCTGTTGCTCAGGTTGTGGGGGCATCTGTCCCATTTATTGCACATATAACACGTGAATAGGCCTGTCGTACTGACTCATCAGACCAGGGACAGCTCCCTGGGGTCCTGGGTGCCCATGACCACAGGGAAGGTACGTTGTCACTGGACCATGGGTTTGACAGCAAAGGGGCCCCGCTTCTTGGGTGTCCAGGACGGGAACTGCAGGGAGACCCAGGTCCATGACTCCTGTGGGCTGTGAGTCTCATACCCTCTGGCTCTGACTTGTATACAGGCCTGTCTATTTCATCTGAAGGTAAGAGACCAGGCTCTATCTGCCCCCTGATTTTCACAGGAATCGGTGGAGGGCACCTAGGGACCAGGACCTCAGGCCTGGGGGAGCCAGCAGTCCCTGTGACCACAGGCAGGAGAGGTCTTAGCCAGAGCCTGGGCTGGGGAGACACCTGCCCTTGCCTCATGTTCCCGATCTCAAGCAGGTCACTGGCCTGGACCTGCTCCCTGGGGTTCACAGGTGACTATGTTGAAGTTGGAGAGGTTTTCTAGTAGATGCCTGTTTTGCATGGGGTGGTTGATCCTGGAGACTGAGCCTGGCTGCAGCTTATTCGTGAGTTTGCACTGGACAATTCCCTCAGGACCCTCCTGCAAATAGGGACCGATGGACAGGTCAGTGAATCTCTCCTTACTGCTGCGGAGTTCCACCTTCTTCTCAGGGTCATATTTGGACCAGAGCCGAACCTTCACAGGAGCTTTGGAGGTGTTGGAGTAGAGGGTGTCATAGGCCTTGGCTAGGGCCACCCCTGGCAGGTAGGTGCAGGCGGCTTCTGGGTCAAGGTCTGTGTTGGTGGCCTTGGGGGTGGAGTTGTAGAGGGCGGCCCCAGGCAGGTGGGTGCTGGCACCATCCTGGTCAAGGTTGGTATTGTGGTCCTCCTGGGTGGTAGGGGCTATCCCAGGTGAGTAGGTGCAGGCAGATTTTGGGTCAAGGTCAGCATAGGTGGCCTTGGGGTTGTCTCTTCCAATGGCAACATTGCCAAGGGTGGTCCTGGGTGGGTCCATGCTGGCACTGCCCTGGTCAGGGTTGGTGGCAGCAACACAGGTGTAGGCCAGGATGGCAGGTCCAGAGGCATTGGCACGGGCGCTCTCAGGGTCGGACTCAGCATAAAATTCCCTGTGATCGGCAGGGGCTGCGGCATAGTCCCTGGTCACAGGAGGGACGGACTGCCAGATGTGATGGTGGGTGTCTTTCTGCTGTTTACGGCTTCTATAACATGAGGAAACAAGTTTGCTTTTTGCTCAGAAAAGAAATTATTTCTTAAGGTTGCTCACTGCAAGCTTGGACTTGAGAAATGATACAAGTAAAGAGAACCCCAGGCATTGCATTCTTTGCACACTTAGCAAGCATGCTTAGGGCATAGCTGGGACTAGCGTAGGCAGGCGATGTAAAACATAAGGAGACATTTTTTTTCAGTGTCATGCAAGGACAGGGGCAGCATTTACATAAACCTGAGTTAGTGTCTCCCTAAATGTTGTGTCATAGGCACCTCCCTTACTTCAGCCTAGTCCTGGGAGGAGTGCCTGGCTTCTCAGGGCCCATGACAGCCTGCCTTTCACTTTGTGTTTGACCTTCCTAAGCTCTTTCCCTTAATTTCTTGGGCAGGCTCTGAGTGCAGGATAGCCTTTAATAGGGTCCTAGAAGTCAAAGGAATATTTCCATCTATACTTCCAGCTATAATGAAGTAACTAGGACTAGACATGCCCTCTGGCATAAACACTAATGAAATCAGATAAAATATATTTTAAAAAACTGTTTCAGACATTAAATAATAGCTTCACAGGGTTATGATCCTGCAGCAAAGAGCAACAATATAATTTTCCAACCTACTGTGTTGAGAATATTTCTAGACTGAAGAGCAGAGAAGAGAATCTCGTGGACAGAACTGCCTTGTGAAGATGAAGAGACAAGGATCAGAGTTCAGGGAGGCAGAGGGGGTAGGATTTTTGGAGCAGAATACCAGAGAAAAGGAAGCTAGGCAGAGAGAGAGAAAGCTCCAGAAATCTGCACAGGGATTTTTCCGAACTGGTTGCTGAATACTGTGCTATATATGAGGTGAGGCAAAGTACTAATGAGAACTTTAGCTGGACAATCCTCAGAGCTCACACAGAACTGAAACACATTAGAGTTTCAACTAGTCAATGTGGAGATACCCTGCTTTTTAGTAGAGAGCCCACAAAGATTGACAGGAATAGGACTAAACTAGCTTTAACAGTAAAAGCTACTCTAGACTGCCTCTATAGCCAGTGAAAATAGCCTTAAGGAAAAAAAAAAAGTGGAAAGGAAGGCTTCTTTGGCAAATAAAAGCCATGAGAATTTGTTATCAGCATTCACACACAACAAGATATGTTAAAGTTTCTTTAGGTAGAAGGGTAATTATGTTAGATGGAAATTAACACATTTATAAAGATCAAAGGGAAATTAGAAATGTTTGAACTGAATAAAAAAAATACAATACATTCCCTGGCCATTTTGTTCAGTGGTTAGAACATCGGCCCTTGGTGTTGGGTTTGATTCACTGTCAAGGGCATGTACCTGGATTACATTTCAATTAATGAGATACAGCTAAAGCAATATCTAGACGATATTTTATTTGTACATTTTGTTCACCTTATTTTTTTGTATTGGGCTCAAAGATTTTTTTTAATGATAGAATTTTAAATGATAGTTATGGGTATTAGAGAGAATTGGTCAACTACTGTGGAATAGTCTAATTTGTTTACAAGCTCATTTAAAATGTGAGGTTCTGATAGCTGCAATGTTAAAAAATTTTTTTTTGAAGTTCAATATTATTTTATATTAGCTTCAGGTATACAGCATAATGGTTAGACATTTATATAACGTATGAAGGGATCACCCCAATAAATCTAGTACCCATCTGACACCATATATAGTTATTATAGACTGTATTCCCTATGCTGTACTTTACATTCCTTTGCCTATTTTGTAACTAACAATTTGTACTTCTTAGTTCCTTCACCTTTTTTATCCATCCATTCAACTACCTTTCCATCTGGCAAACATCAGTTTGTTCTTTATATTAACGAGTCTGGTTCTGTTTTGTTTGTTTATTTATTTTGTTCTTTCAATTCCAAATATAAGTAAAATCATATGGTATTTGTCTTTTTATGCCTGACTTGTTACATTTAGCTTAATACCATTCTATAAAGAAATTTATAGTATTAAATATATAAATGTTTACATAAGGAAAAAAGAAAAGTTTAAAAACTATGACTTAAGAAGCATCTACCTCAAGAAATTAGCAAAGAAGGGCAATTTAAGCCCAAAAGATGAAGGATTTAATTCAATTAAGAACAAAAGTCAATGAAAGACTATTTCAATAAAATCAAAAGTTAGTTCTTTGAAAAGATTGATACAATTGATAAATTTCTAGTTGAACTGAACAAGAAAGAAAGATAAAGCACACAAAATTCTAATATTAGAAATGAGAGGACATTACTATAGCTCCTTCCAAATTAAAGGAGTAATAGGAAAATGTTTTAAACAATTGCCAAATTAAAAAGTTCAAAAATACAGAATCTATTGAATCAATTTAAAGTACAGCAAGAAGCCAAGAGAAAGAGATGATTTAGATCAACACACTTAGCAGAATTTGTAAGCATACCATGCAAATCCTGTGTTGAGCTGTGTTCATATGTCCTGTTTTTCATCAATTCTATTTGCTGATTGTGTGGTTTTAAAGACTAAAGAATCTTGAACAGAGGGCACTGTATTGAATTATCTAGGGCCAATGCACATACATACAGGAGAAGTATGCTCAGCATAGTGGTAGCTCTTTCTTGGCCTACTGAGTAACTATAAGTTTTACCCATATTTCTTAGGCAAAATATGTATAATATCAAAATGAGTAGTACCATTAGGTGGTCAATTTAAGTCCTCATAAATGAGTGCTTCATATGCCTCATGTATATTGAATGTATCATGAATATTTGTCCTTTCATCATCTTTCATTCCTTTCTTCATCCTTCTTCTCCCTTAACATTATTAATAATAAGGATAGACTTTTGTTGAATGTTCTTGTGTTAATACAAGCAAGAATGCTTAATGTAAAGCATTTCTTTTAATCTACACAGAAATTCTATAAATAAAGTTTATTTTCCATATTTTATGGTTGAGGTATCAGAGTCTCATTGTTGTGACTTCCTCTGAGTAGAACTTTGCTGATTTTGATATTGTTCCTAAGCAGAAAGGGAAGGACAGATATCTATGAGAAGAGATATTTGTATATTGGGGGAAAAGAGAATACATTTACCTGATTTTGAGCGGGATTTTCAAATAAAGTCCGATGGAAGTCAGGAGTATCAGAAATGCTGTCAAAACTATACCCACTCTTCTAGTGATTGTTGTTCTGATGGGCTCAGCAACTGAAATACAGATGTCTCACAGTCACTTTCTCAAGAGAGTTGTTCCCACATTCACTTCTTAGTCATTCCCCAATTGTGTTCCCTCTAACAGTAATATATTGTGATTCCTCCCTTTATTTCCATTTCCCTTCCAAATTATGGTTAATTAAGTTCAAGCCTCCATTAAAATATTATCTTAGGTTACTTGTTCAGAAAATAAATAAGCAAATAAAGTCATTTCTTCCATGGGAGAGTAGCAATACAACAGAAAATTGACAGAATAGTAAATCAGGGAAGTAACACATAGGGTTTAGATGAGGCTGGAGCTGGCATAGAATGAAAGAATCAAGGGACCAGAGGTCTCTAAGAGACTGAAAAGACTGTAAAAAGAGGAAAAGTATAAAGTTTAAAGAATTAGAAGTTGTTTTCAAAAAGTGATACATTGGGATTTAAAGTTTTAGAACTGAAACATGTTCATTTTTGGGTCAAGACCGTGTGTGACACTGGCAGTGGGCGACTGAAGTGAAGTGGGTCTGTGCACTGTCCCCATTCCTGGAACACTTGTCGCCTTTCCCTTTACCATCCTTACTGGACAACTTCTATTCACTATTTTGTCAGCAGGTGCAAAATTACCTCAAAAAAGCTTTTGCCCTGACAGGTTTAGCTCAGTGGATAGAGAGCGTCAGCCTGGGGACTGAAGGTTCCCAGGTTTGAGTATAGTCAAGGGCCTGTACCTTGGTTGTGGGCACATCCCCAGTAGGGAATGTTCAAGGGACAGCTGAGCAATGTTTCTCTCTCACTGATATTTCTAACTCTATCCTCTCCCTTCCTCTCTGTAAAAAATCAATAAAATATATTTTAAAAAAGCTTTTGTTAGAAAAAGTGACTAGAATATGGAAATAAGGCAAAAACAAATTCCATGTCTTTTTAATAATATGCTAAAACATCTAATAAATTTATCTAATGATCATCTGACTTAGGAAAATAAATATTTTTATGGTTTTATTAACCTTTAGCAGTCCCATGAACTTAGCAGTCTTATTGTAGGATTGGATTTTGTAATTAATTTTGAACCAGTTATGTTATCTGCTCTTTTTCTCACTTATGAATTAATTAAAATTATGGCCCCTGATTTCCATGTATTTTTATGAGAATTATGTTTTTAATATTTTTGAAGCTGCACTTTGAACTATTCTCTTCCCCTTTCCATAACCTATCTCTCCTTTGAGTTTTCATGGCATCCTCTGCTTGTTCCATATGTTGTATTATAACTGAGTTTAATTCATCCAAATAATATGTATTGAATTCCTTGTAGTTGCCACATGCAGTGATAGTGTTAGTGTTAGTGATACCACAGTGAACAAGGCAGATAGGGTCCAGCCCTAAAAGTTTGTTCATTTGCACAGCCTTTTCCTCCTACTAGAGTGTATAATTGATAAGTATAGACTAGGTCTTAACCATTATGGCCTTCTCAGTGTTAAACATTGTGTTGGCCCACAAAGTTGCTCAATAAATATTTGTAGGATAAGTGCATGGAAGAATACATAATGGTGGAAATATGGCATTTATATAGCTGAAATGCTAGTGTATTAGATGAACTGTCACCTTGGACTTGAAGTAATCTAAGGTGATGGGAGGCGAACAGGCCAGCAGGGGCAGGCAGTAAGAGGTGACCAGGCTTGTGTGTGGGGGGACAGTTAAGGGTGTCCAGTCCGGTGGGTGGGGTGCAGGTAGTGGTGACCAGGTCAGCAGAGGGGGAAGTTGGGGGCAATTAGGCTGGCAGGAGGGGCAGTGAGGGGCAACTAGGCTGGCATGAGGGCCAGTTGGGGGGTGACCAGGTTCACAGGAGGGACAGTCAGGGGTGATCAGGTCAGCGGTGGGGGACGGGTTAGGAGTGATCAGGCCAGAGGGAGGGGGCAGTTGGGGGTGACATGGCCGGCAGTGTGTGTGTGGGGGCAATTTGGGGTAACCAGGCTGGCAGGGAAGGCAGTTAGGGACAACCAAGCAAGCAGGCAGGTGAGCCATTAGGAGCCAGTGGCCCAGAATTGTGAGAGGGATATATGACTGCTGGTTAAGGCCCAATCTCTGGCATTGTGGCTAAACCAGCAGTAGGACATCACCTGAGGAGTCCTGGATTAGAGAAGGTGCTGTCTGAGCTGAGGGGACCCCCTCCGCTGTGCACAAATTTCATGCATCAGGCATCTAGTGTGTGTGTGTGTGTGTGTGTGTGTGTGTGTGTGTGTATCAATCTCAAAACCATAACTGCATGTTTATGGTCATAGCATTTTTGCAATACTTTATATAGGTAGAGGGAGAAGAGAACATAAAAAAGACTGAGGAGAAACATTGTAAAATGCGAACCAGGAGAGATGGGCCTGTTGGAGAACTAGGAAGGAGAACGTATGGAAATGGTTCCTGGTGAAGAGAGCTCTGCTTTGAATGTTTCTGTCTCCTCAACAATCATATATTGAAATCTCAAATGACCAATTTGTGGTCCCAAGTTCATGAATGAGATTAGAGTCCTTAAAAAAGAAACCACCCCATACCCTACTTGAGCTCCCTAGGAATTTCTACCATGTCAGGTCACAAGAAGAAGTTTGCTTTCTGCAACCCAAAAGAGGGCTTTTACCAGAACCTGACTATGTGGACACCTTCATCACGAAATTGCAGCCTCCAGAACTGTGAGAAATAAATTTGTGTTGTGTATAAGCTATCTAGTCTGTGATATTTTGTTATAACAGCCTGAATGGACTAAGATAAGAAGGCCCTGTTCCATTGCAAGGTTAAAAGGTGAAGACTGGAAAATTACTCAGGAAAGGATGGGAGAAGTTAGAAAAAAGAGGAGGGAAGTTGGGTTCTGGCAGCAAGATTGGTGTGGGTGTGATGTAGAGAGCAGAATCAAGCTTATATGCTTAGAGTTGCCGCCACCATGGATGTGAGCAGTGAAGGGAGAGAGAAAACTGACTTGCTATGGACAATTGTTCTTCCTTTTTCTGATTCAGAACAGGGTTCCAGACAGAACATATCAGATTCTTCTGAGAAGCTTCACTGAGGAGCAGTGATGTTGTTACATGGAACAAGCCACTTTTGTCCTGTGTGTGAGTCTCAGACTCAGCTGGAATTTCTCTTCCCTCAGAATCCATCCACTGGACCTTTGGCTGAGGGAACCAGCCCTCTGACTTGCACACTACTTGCATTTGTCTGGACTCAGTGAGTTCCACCTGGAACTGAGGATGTGAGCCAAGAGCTGGAAAGAGGAAGAGAGAGAAGTGAGATCCTAAGCTCATTTTCCTGAAATTATATCCACCCCCTGCTTCTGAAGAGTTTTTGCTGCTGTTTAGACTTCAGAGTGTAGAACAGGATACTGAGACTCTGAGGAAGTCTTTGCAACAAAGGATGCGACTTAGACTCCTCGGTGAGAGAGGAGTCCAACACAGTCCAAAACACATGGCCCCTATTTCTTGTCTTCCACTATGAATCTCTATTATCTTTTGTTTAGCCCCAAGCAGTGATAATGGGATAATGGGGTGAGTAGAAGTAGTTGCCATCTCCTTTTCTCCTATGACTTCATTATATTTCCCAGGAAAATTGGATCAGAAGAAGGAGCTCAACCTAGAGTGAACTCACCCCTGTGGGGTGTCAGGGCAATAAATGTGGGCCATTACCTGCCACTTTCAGCTCAATCACTGCATCTCTGTAGAAGGAGCCATTTTTGAATGCACAGTGATACTGCCCATTGTCAGAGGGCTGGACATTGAGGATCCTCAGAACCACTATCCCCTTATGCATGACATTTTTCACAAGCACTGTCCTCCCCAAATACTCTGCCATAGCTTCTTCAGGCTTGTCCCTCCCATCCTCATACAGGTGCACCAGATGGGAGAGTAGGGATCTGTTCCAGTTTATTTCCATATTTTTAACATCTTGAGGAGGCAAGAGGAAGCAGGGCAGCTCAGCTTCACCACCCAGCATGGCCACCAAGGGTTCATGGGGCCCTCGGACTTGGAATGCTCCTGAAAAGAGAACAGAGATAGAATCAGGGTGGGCTGAGGGTAGGATTTGGGCAAATGAAATAGTTGACTACACAAATGTTTGGCTATTATCATCTTAACCAACTGGGGAGAAGGTCTGAAATGAGATAGTTGCTGAGTCTTGGGGCATCCCTTTTCTGACCTGAACATACACACAGAGCTAGCAGGTAGCTGCAGGTATTATACATAGAAAGTCCAGGCTTGGCTATGCTGAGGCATGCGAAGGACCTAGGGCATAAATGTTGACTAGGCACTTACTTTAAGGGCACATGTCCAAAGTCAACAAGATCCTAAGGCATTGGTGGTATAGTGGTGAGCATAGCTGCCTTCCAGAGTCAACAAGATCCTGAGAGAAAGTACCTCCTCAAATTTGGGCCCTAGCCTCCTCACTTAACTCAACCTGTGGGGAGGGACCTGAGGAATATAACTGCTTCCTCTTGCCTTCTCAAGATGCTAACTCCTTTAGGTCAGGTTCTGTCCTTGTCCATAGGAGGGGAAAATCCACAGGAACTCTGATAGCTCTGGATGGATAGTAGGATATCTGTTTTGAGACAGAATCTAAAGCAGATCCCTGGAAAAGATATTTGGAAATCATTAATAATATTTGCCATGAGTATGGGATGAGAAAATGGGGGCATACAAGCTAATTTTTGTCAATCTTATTCTACATTATCTTGAGGCTCTAGGAACTTATGCTTCTTTATTATCATATGGGTACTTCCATTCTCTATTTTTATCCCACCACATCACATGCACTTAGGTGTATACACACACACACACACACACACACACACACACACACATATACACACACACACACACACACACACACATCAACAGGCCTTGACCAGGAGATAGGGATGCAAATATCTAATACACTTCCTGGAACTTAATAAGTGGAATAAAGTTATTTTCTTTACTTTTCCAGGATCTCATAGCATTTGTGTTTTTGTCAAACTTTTGCTTCCATCTTCCCTCCCTTTTCCTTTCCATCCCCTTAGATAACAGAGAATCAGAAACTCAGAAGAATTCATACCTATACCCATTTCGAAGCAGAGGTAGAGTGAGATGAGGCTGCCATGATAAATTGTAGAGATTCGCTGCCTCCTCAGGTGACTGCGGCAGGGTGATCTCAAGGCTTTGTGCTGATGACTCATTGGAAATGGAGGAAAACACTGTGATGAGGAGAGAAATAAAAAGAGAACTCTGAGACTTAGGTCAAGGGTCAGAAAAAGGAAGGAATGCAGGAATATCTTGGACAGGTAAGGGGCACATCTTATCTATGGGAATAAGGTGAGGGGGAGAGTTTGATGCATGTTCCTTTTTCTACAAGTTTTGTGACTTTGATTTTTAGGAATTTACAGGGTACTCATGGCTCTAGATACCTTCTATATGCTGATGACTCATGCCAAAATGTACATTGTTTATATGTAATGTGACCCAGGGGCAGGACCTTGCTTCTAGAGGGACCAAGAGCTAAGGTATTCCTCTGCCTTGGACCAACAAAAATAAACAGGTGGCTTCTTTCATTTCCCACACCACTACCTTCTTTGCCTGGCCAAGGCAGACTTCTAATGTCCCCTTCTAGAACTTGGAAATTAGTAGTAGTAATGGGGAAGGGGCTGTAACATATCTCATCAACCACAGAAACTTAGAATTTGGTGTCCATGGCTATGAAGTTTGTTACTCAGGGCCCAGGACTCACAGATCTTGCTGCTCAGGGAGTCTGTAGGAAGGCTGGCCCAAAGAAGGGAGGGGAAGGCTTTCCAAAGGCCATATTCTCTTTAGGTGGAGGTAATATATGAGGGAATGGATCCTGAGCTAGTGGAGGAAGCATGTGGCACATAATTGTACAGGGTCTTAAGGACCATGGAAGCACTACAGAGATGGAGCATATATTACTTCTCCATGGAGTAGGCAGCCCTTCTCAACCTTTTTGATATAATAGAGAAAATGACTCCCCTATAATAAACTGGAATGGGATTATGCAGTATGGCCTTCATGGGAAAAATTATTTTCTCTGTATTATATAAGAATAATAAAGTAGAATTTATTAAGAAATATGTGCCCAGTTGGTATGGCTCAGTTGATTGGGCATTATCCCATGCATTGAAAGGTCACTAGTTTGATTCCTGCTCAGGGTATGTGCCTGCCTTGCAGGCTTGATCCCTCGTGGGGGTGTGCAGGAGGCAGCCAATCAATGTTTCTCTTGAATATTTCCATCTCTCCCTCTGTTCTTTCCTATCTCTCTGAAAGAAATCAATGAAGACATATTTTTTAAAAATATGTTAAATATAAATTTATAAAGAATATTCCTAAAAATCTAAAATTTTTATAATTTTTAAATTTGATTTAATTAATATAACTTTAAAATGTTTTTATCTGAGTTTATCTGAGCCAAACTAATGAAGCATGCTATGGAAAATGATCTAAAATACTCCCGTAGAATAACAGTTTTTTAGCTTCTATCATGCATTTGAAACTAAGGAGGGGAAGTAAGGAAGATTACATGGAGGTAGGAGTAAGCAAAGTGAGAATTGGATTGCAGGATAGCTACCAACATATGTGCTCTCTTGAGAGTAGTATGGCTAATTTCAAATGTGTGGTAGCCACATTAACACATTTTGAAAAATATTCATTATTTTGAACAAATATAGGTTTTTAACCTCTGATTGTATACTATAATAACTACAGATAATTATAATGTTCCATTATAATGATTAATTATGTCTTCAATTTCTTCGTAGTCACCATTGGTGAGTTATTTTAGTTCACAAGTAAATAATACAAATTTTAAAACCTTTTTGTTCCAATTCTTTTATTTTTAAAAAAAGATTTTTTTATTGATTTTTTAGATAGAGCCAGAGAAAAAAGGAAGCATCCATGTGAGAGAGAAACTGGTTGTCTGCCTCCTGCATGTCCCCTAATGTGGATCTAGTCAACAGCCTGGGCATGTGCCCCGACCTGGATGACATACAACCAATGAGCCACACAGGATAGAGCATTCTCATTCTTTTCCATTGTATTTTAAAAGTTTAGGGCTCTTTCTTTTCTTTGTTCACATATGTAATGGATTTAAAATCCAATAGATTTTTTTTTCATACAATGTCTCAAAATAAGTTTTTGTTGTATGTACACGTACAGTAAGTTAATCAATTTGCAGTTAATTTGCATGTATCAGCAACAAATGGACCAAAAAAAAATCTGATGTCAATGAAGACAGAATTTGAGGGCTGCTGCTTTAAGCACCACCAGGATCCTGTTCCTGGCCTCTTTGTTCCTCCCATCCACTCTAGGTAGAGTCACATATGGGCTCCTTTTGCACCTGCATTTTGAACTCTTCCTGTTGCTCTATGGGATCCTTTTCCTGAAGGGCAGTATTCAGTGCAGATTAGAGAGGATTCAGGCTGGGCTGAGGGACCATCCCTCCTCCCCCCCCCCCCACACACACACATGCATGAATTTCATGCTCTGGTATATTTATATTTTTTATCAACCCCTGTGTGTGAGGCCAATTTCTCACCTCTGTTTATATGCTTTCTCCTATATCAATGCCCCCCTCAACCCTTTCCAGCACTATGCTGGGCATTCCCTCCCCATGGACCCCCCCTTACCTTGTCTGGGTTCTGGCATTCCTCACTGTGTTCTGGCTTTGACACTCATTAGAGAGTTTCCTACCCCCATAGACTGTCACCTCCCCCATGTCAGGTCACCTCCTAAAGGGAAACCTGACACTGCTTGGGCTCTGACCCCTTGGGCTCTGGCCACCTCAGTTCCCCTTTTTCCAGTACATCCTGTCCTCCCTGCACTGCCAGAATAAATGTTGACTTTGTCTTATCCAAACAGTTTAAGATTGAGTTGTTCAGGGAAGCAAAAGAAAGCTAAAGAGAAAGAGGGAAGGAGGAGAGGAGGGAAAGGCTATCCCTTGCTTTTAAAATATTTTTATTGTTTAAGGTATTACAAATAGTAGTACATATGTTCCCCCCCCTCCACATTGACCTCCCCAGGAAGCCCCTTTCCCCCCACCCTGCACTTGCCCTTACCCTGCCCCCACTCCCACAGGGTCTTACATATGTTGGTTGTGCTTATATGCATACTTACAAGTCCTTCACTTGATCTCTTACCCTGTCCCCCCCCCCACAAACCTCCCCTTGCTTTTTAAAGTATTAATAAAAGAAATACAACTTTGA